TTCTGCTACTTTAAGCTACTGTTCTGCTACTTTAAGCTACTGTTCTGCTACTTTAAGCTACTGTTCTGTTACTTTAAGCTACTGTTCTGCTGCTTGAGGAACAGCTTGTACCCTGAAGCTGTTAGACTCATAAATCCCTAGCCAGAATAATCACTGTAATGCCACTTTCCTTCGTGATATTTAACTTGTGCTGCTGATTATCTGTGCTGCTGATTATCTGTGCTGCTGATTATCTGATTTTGATCTTTTGAATCGACGTTTGTAGTCAAAAATAATTCAAGATGGCCACCTCAGCCAACTCGTGAGAAAAGCCAAAAACAGCTCATGGTGGGGGTTAAGGGCCTTGCTCAAGGGCCCAGAGTGGGGCAGATGAGGGTGGAGGCAGCTTTTCACCTTTCCCACCCACATTTTGATGTTGTCAATCCAAGGAGTCAAACCTGCGACCTTCCGATCACAGGCCCACCTTCTCTGACCTCTGCACCACCGCTCTCCAAATGAAGACCGTAAAGTATTTCCTGTTTAAGAAAAGATCTCTGCTTCTCCGAGCCGGACTCCTCGTGTCCTTCTGGGCTTTATCTCTTGAAGCCGAAGGTTGAGTCCCTGTGGGACCACAGATTAACGGGCCCGTCACGTTGCCGCTCCGCCCGGGCCTTTCTCCTGCGGGAGGTCGTCGTCGGGGTCGTCTCCATGTCCACAGTGGAGCGGCCGCCCACCGACGCTCACAGAATACAGAGCACCCCAGAGCTGCTGCAGGACGCTCGTGTGCAGTCTCACCATGAGCCTTTCTCCCCCCGACGTGAGTATCTCAGCAACTTTACAGATAAAGTTTGTGTTGAAGCTGCTTCACACGCTCGGAGTTGAACTACGGCATTTAACGTTCAGCTGTGACGTCACCTTTACGTGTTTCAGTGCAGTTTTAACGAGTCTCGCGCTAAAGTTTTACAGAAAGACGAACGCTGCAGTAGCTAAAACTCAGTAACTTCTAACGCTTGGAGTCTGAGCTGAGAGTGACTCTCGGCTACTATCAGCTGCAGCTCAACCTCGGTTCATTAGATACAGCGGCCATCTTGAATCAGTTTGACTCCACTACTTTGAGTTTCACTCAAATGTGTCCTGTGGTTCACAGGATATTTTACTAACAGGGCAATACACCTCATTGTCAGTTACAGTATGTAAAATATACATTTCATTGTTTTTCTTTGCATTTGTTGCTCGTTTGTTTTTGTCATTTGTTCTCGTTAGCCAAAGCCACGTTAGGTTAGCTGTAGCTTGTCTATAAAATAAAGAGTATGTGACCTGAAACGTAAACAATCTAATAAATAAAACTTCAACAGAGCATGCTAGCTGTTAGCTCTTTAGCCACATGCAGCGTAAACAACTTGAGACTCTGTCAAAGAGCAAAGTTCTTTATTTTCTTGATTTAATCAATTATCAGTTTAAAAGATTTTACTGGAACAATAAGATCAGAGTCCTTTTTTCTGGTAGTGTTGCTTACTGTGAACCCAAATAGATTTTTATTTTAAATCTTTAAAACTATTTGTCTTAGGTAAATATTTGCCAGAAGTCTGTCTTTTTAAACACACAACTCATTTTATCTGTTAGCTCTTTTGTTAGCTTCATGCTAACGCTCACTTCAGTTGTTTCTAAATATTTGGTCTTTGCTGGTAACCCTAACCCCCCATGAATTGTCAGAGTTGGTACAGTCCTATCATACTCTGTGTGGTGTATCCCCCCCCCCATGAGTTCTCAGAGTTGGTACAGTCCTAACATACTGTCGTGTATCCCCCCCCATGAATTGTCAGAGTTGGTACAGTCCTATCATACTCTGTGTGGTGTATTCCCCCCCCATGAGTTGTCAGAGTTGGTGCAGTCCTAACATACTCTGTGTGGTGTATT